AAAGGTTCTTTATATTTAGATTATTAGAATGTTCTTCACACTACGCAAAATGTTTCACTGAAAGGTTCTTTAAGGGAACCAAAAATGGTTCTTCTATGGCATTGCTGTGAAATTGGAACATTTATTTTTAGTGAAAGTGACGTGACGTGGCTAAGTGACCCATACTTGGAATTAGTGCTCTGCATTTAACCCATCCTAAGTGCACACACACAAACCGTGAACACACACACACACACACACTGTGAACACACACCCGGAGCAGTGGGCAGCCATTTTTTTGCTGCGGCGCCCGGGGAGCAGTTGGGGGTTCGGTGCCTTGCTCAAGGGCACCTCAGTCATAGTATTGAAGGTGGGAGAGAGCGCTGTACATTCACTCCCCCCCCCTACAATTCCTGCCGGTACGAGACTCGAACTCTCTAACCATTAGGCCACGACTTCCCCAGGGAAGGAATGTATATGCTGTATACTGCATACTATTTCAGCTGTCATCTACAAAGATAAATTGGATTACTTTGCATTTTTAGATTGGAAAGATTGGCCAAAATGTCTTTTGATAGCTGATTATATAATGAGCTAAGAATGAGTCGTCTGATGTTGCTTCTGGTTCATTCGTCACTCTGGATATGTAAGGTCAAGTCTAGGGCATTGCATTATGGGATAGAGGGCTCAGTGCAGTGTGCTCTGGTGCTGCTACGTTTTGGCAAATATATAAGGTCCTCCATATTCATGCATATAGATAAAGACACGTTATTCCAAATTTAGAGAAAATCACGTTATTCCAAATTGACAACTTTAAAACTGAAATGGAAAACAATTCTTATGAATGAAATTAAGTTAAACTACTACGTAAAAAAGGATTCGTGCTGTCTTAAAATGTTAAATACAGAGTTCTGGCATGAGACTCTAGATGGCGCAGTCCGATAGGTCTAACTCAATCTGACCTAATCACATCATTATCACATGGCACAGCTGATTGGTTCTCTCCTGTATCGGTAGCCAATGAGCTCGCTGCTCAACATTCAAATATATGACTAGTGCTTGCTGTAGCAGTTGCAGCTTGCTTCAGAAACCCTTCACCTTCCCCAGCTCCACCTGTGTAGATCTGCTACGAGGTGATTCATGCATGCTATATGGGGTTATTTCATGTATAAACCTGGCATTGTGTGCTATGGCATTGTTGGCTCTTTGACGAATTGTTTTGTTCCTCTGTTGTAAGTGGCTTTAAAGGGTTAGTTCACCCCAAAATGCTCAGACCCTGCAACACAACTGTAATGTTCCCAGGTCCAGAAACACGTAAGCGCATCGGTAAAACAGTCCATGTGACATCAGTGGCTCAACTTCAGTTTTGCAAAGCTAAGAGAATACTTTTTAAAAGAAAACAAAAATAACAATTTATTTCACAGTTCTTCTCCCCCGAGTTACGTCTTCCGCCATTTTGGAGAGTACCCAAGAGCGTAATGGACGTAATCAGTGTTGTTTATGTTCGGGGGAGAAAGTGTGCGCATGAACGTAATCTGCATAATCAGCATTGTTTACGCTTAGGGGAAAGCGTGCGTATGCATTGTGATTCTCTCTAAAATGGCGGAAGATGTAACTCGGGGGAGAAGAATTGTTGACATTTTTTTTTTTTGCGCTCAAAAAGTATTCTCGTAGCTTCGCAAAACTGAAGTTGAGCCACTGATGTCACATGGACTGTTTTACTGAAAGGTTCTTTAAGGGAACCAAAAATGGTTCTTCTATGGCATTGCTGTGAAATTGGAACATTTATTTTTAGTGAAAGTGATGTGACGTGGCCAAGTGACCCATACTTGGAATTAGTGCTCTGCGTTTAACCCATCCTAAGTGCACACACACAAACCGTGAACACACACACACACACCGTGAGCACACACCCGGAGCAGTGGGCAGCCATTTTTTTGCTGCGGCGCCCGGGGAGCAGTTGGGGGTTCGGTGCCTTGCTCAAGGGCACCTCAGTCATAGTATTGAAGGTGGGAGAGAGCGCTGTACATTCACTCCCCCCACCTACAATTCCTGCCGGTACGAGACTCGAACTCTCTAACCATTAGGCCACGACTTCCCCAGGGAAGGAATGTATATGCTGTATACTGCATACTATTTCAGCTGTCATCTACAAAGATAAATTGGATTACTTTGCATTTTTAGATTGGAAAGATTGGCCAAAATGTCTTTTGATAGCTGATTATATAATGAGCTAAGAATGAGTCGTCTGATGTTGCTTCTGGTTCATTCGTCACTCTGGATATGTAAGGTCAAGTCTAGGGCATTGCATTATGGGATAGAGGGCTCAGTGCAGTGTGCTCTGGTGCTGCTACGTTTTGGCAAATATATAAGGTCCTCCATATTCATGCATATAGATAAAGACACGTTATTCCAAATTTAGAGAAAATCACGTTATTCCAAATTGACAACTTTAAAACTGAAATGGAAAACAATTCTTATGAATGAAATTAAGTTAAACTACTACGTAAAAAAGGATTCGTGCTGTCTTAAAATGTTAAATACAGAGTTCTGGCATGAGACTCTAGATGGCGCAGTCCGATAGGTCTAACTCAATCTGACCTAATCACATCATTATCACATGGCACAGCTGATTGGTTCTCTCCTGTATCGGTAGCCAATGAGCTCGCTGCTCAACATTCAAATATATGACTAGTGCTTGCTGTAGCAGTTGCAGCTTGCTTCAGAAACCCTTCACCTTCCCCAGCTCCACCTGTGTAGATCTGCTACGAGGTGATTCATGCATGCTATATGGGGTTATTTCATGTATAAACCTGGCATTGTGTGCTATGGCATTGTTGGCTCTTTGACGAATTGTTTTGTTCCTCTGTTGTAAGTGGCTTTAAAGGGTTAGTTCACCCCAAAATGCTCAGACCCTGCAACACAACTGTAATGTTCCCAGGTCCAGAAACACGTAAGCGCATCGGTAAAACAGTCCATGTGACATCAGTGGCTCAACTTCAGTTTTGCAAAGCTAAGAGAATACTTTTTAAAAGAAAACAAAAATAACAATTTATTTCACAGTTCTTCTCCCCCGAGTTACGTCTTCCGCCATTTTGGAGAGTACCCAAGAGCGTAATGGACGTAATCAGTGTTGTTTATGTTCGGGGGAGGAAGCGCGCGCATGAACATAATCTGCGTAATCAGTAGGGGTGCTCCGATTGATCGGCCGATAATCACGTTAGGATGATTGATCGGCGGTCTCTAAAAAGGCCGATCTCAAAAGGCCTATCTCAAGCTGATGACGCTGCCGTGAGAGGTTTGGCACGACATGCAGCGGCACCATTTGCTTAGGGGAAAGCGTGTGTATGTGTTGTGATACGCTCTAAACTGGCGGAAGACGTAACTCGGGGGAGAAGAATTGTTGAATAAATTGTTATTTTTGTTTTCTTTGCACTCAAAGTATTCTTGTAGCTTTGCAAAACTGAAGTAGAGCCACTGATGTCACATGGACTGTTTTACTGCTGTCCTTACACGTTTCTGGACCTGGGAACATTACAGTTGCGTTGCTGTCTATGCAGGGTCTGAGATCTCACATTTCATCAAAAATATATAAAATAGACATGAGGGTGAGTAATTAATGACAGCATTTTCATTTTGGGGTGAACTAACCCTTTAAGTGTCTGCTGTATGCAGAAATGTGAGAAATAACCTTGTTTGAGAAGATGTGGCTGAACTGGTTTGATTTGGGAAATCTTTTAAATTTTGGCTTCTAACAGAGAAAGCCGCATCCCAAGGCCCTGAATAAGCCTTCGAACTGCTTTGGACGTGCTGCCATCTCTTCATTTCCATGACTAATTAGAGGACATTCTGTCGTAATTACGGAGGACAGCTCTGACATGATGACTGTCACATGACAGGATGACACACACACTCCCTCAGGACTCAAAATGAGATCTTCACCTGCTCAGTAGTAGCACATTGCAGTGAAAGGTTTGTTTCCCTCTGAACAAGGTCACATGATTGTGGTGCGTTTTCATCCAGTGCAGACTCATTATTTTAGATGTCCTCCAAACAGGAACATAATCTGCCAGTCAGAGAGCTGAAACGGTCTGCAGTTATTAGTTTTGATAATAATAAAAAATAATCATCCTATAATTTCTGCTCCGCTCAAGCGGTTCAAACTGACGTGTTTGTGAGGAACTGGGAAATGGAGAAGTGCATGATGTATCATTTACTGTAACAGCATTTATGTCTGACAAATGTGACAAATTTACAGCCGTCTGGCTTGCTTTGGCCTCTCTGACCATCACTGGCAAGCTGTTTCTGGAATAAAGGGTTAGTTTGTGTGTAGTTGTCGTGTTTTACATCTTTTCATTTGCTGCTTTTTTGCTAAACGGGCGTCTTTGACCATGTGCTCGATCTTTTGCAGTGTTCTCAAAAAAAAAAAAAAATATATATATATTTCTCTCAAATTTCCCTATTAATTATAGCCATTCAACATTACAGTATAATTGAAAGCCATTATTTTTTAACATTTAATAGGCTCTTCACATAAACTAAATTATATATGCTTAAACCATACGTATTAATCTTTATTCAATCTAAAAAAAAAATGTAATAAGCCACTAGAACAGTCCCAGGATTTCTCTTTTTTTCTTTTGTTCTTTGATTTACATCAATGCAGTGGTTCCCAAACCTGTCCTGGAGGCCCCCCAGCCCCTGCACCTTTTGTATGTCTCCCTTATCGAACACACCTGATTCCACTTATCGAGCAGTTCATAGAGACTGCAAGAACTAAATTAGGTGTGTCTGATTAGGGAGACATACAAAATGTGCAGGGCTGGGGGGCCTCCAGGACAGATTTGGGAACCACTGCATCACAGACTTCAGCAGGTTTCACTTTAAAATCAGCGCTGCCTCTTTAAAACCTGATGCATATGACACGGATCTGACACACAATCCGATTTTCTCCCAACTCTTTATGGTCATTTAAGACTTTATAACTCATTTAAGACTACGGTTACAAGGTAACTCACCAAAACCGCGCATTTTGACATATTTGTGTGTGTTTTCGTGCATTGAAGCGCTACTGGTGAGCTGTCTGAAGCGGCTCAGAAGACTACGGTTACAAGGTAACTCACCAAAACCGTGCATTTTGACATATTTGTGTGTGTTTTCGTGCATTGAAGTGCTACTGGTGAGCTGTCTGAAGCGGCTCAGCGTACGCCAAACGCACAGCCTTTCAAACTATACTTCTCTGCACCGTTTCTGCGGCGTAACCCCAGGTGTGTGTCGCCGCATTCTCGGGTTACGAAGAATAAAGAAGGGAAAAGTTAATCTTCCGAAATGAAGCAGCAAAATCTTCTCCGGTAAAAGTTACTAGAACTGTGTCTAGGGACAAGCTGGCCATCACTGCTCTGACCTTTTCAGTCCGTTTGCATCCTACTAGCCTGTTTGATTCGCTCTTGTCGCTTATAACAGAACAGCTAATCAAGATGATCTTGTCTTGGGAAAAGATTATTTTCACTTCATTGCATTGTTATAATTCGTAAAAGTTTTACCCGCCAACTGGTGTCTGACACACTGTTACATGGACTCGCACAATGCTGATTTTTACTCCCATTTGGTGCTTGGCGAGTGTTAATTTTAGGCCCTGTATGTGTGTGTGTGTGTGTGTGTGTGTGTGTGTGTGTATGTATATATATATATATATATAGACCTTAATATGTTTTTTTCCCCACTACACTGCATCTCTTGTTTTTAATTGCAAAAAGTGAGATGCTGTGGAGTGGAATTAAAAAAGCAGTGTCTAGAGTAGCATTTTAATTTTTTTTTCTCAAACTTGAATATCTTTTCATTTGAGTGCCAAGTTTTTAGACCACTGTGAGCCATTCGCAAGACTGTAAAAGATGCAACACATGTTTACATAGAAGCACAGTGGAAAAATCAGCACAGTTGAATGCAAAACCCTGTTTCGTGTGAACAGCCTGTAAGTCCTTGAACTATTAGTGTGGTTTAGTGTTTATTGAGGGAATCACATTTACTTACATCTGTTGCTGTCGTTATAATCATGTGTTCGATTAAATTTAGTGTAGGTGTGTGTCTCTGCTTTGATGAACTGGAACACATCTCTGTTTTCATCAAAATATTTCAAGAAGTGAGTCTGAAATTAGTGTGGTGCGTATGAAACAATGAGATAAGATGCTTTTACTCAGTGTGACTTACAGTAATCTTAATGCAGTTTCTTGCTTAATGCTTTTAATGTAGCATATTATTAATGCATCTTTTTTTCATGTGAAGTGGTGAAAGTAGCAACTTTAAATAATGCATTGCTTTAATGATTACAGTAAATTGATTTTTTAAGCTTAAAACACAAGCAGTGCTATCTTGCACCAGTTGTTTTGTTGTTCTTGCGTGTGTGTCTCTGTGTCTAATTTCAAAAGACAGGAAGTGTTAGAGCTGTTTCGAGCAAACTCTGTTCAACTTCAAGAGCTTTGTAAAATCAAAATGATCCTGACAGCAGAGTTCCATTGCTTGCTTTAATGTTTGTTATTGAAATTCCTCCCTGACATCTCATCCTCTGCTGGAAATGTGTTTTTCTCTCCCGCAGACAACCCGACGGGCTCGTCCTCATCCTACCGCCCCCCGCCGCGCACTAAGGAGGTCGTCATCAATCAGCAGGTGGTTAAACTCAAGTACTGCTTCACCTGCAAGATCTTCCGGCCGCCACGCACCTCCCACTGCAGCCTGTGTGACAACTGTGTGGGTGAGATGAGCTTGAGAAATGTACAGCAGAGCTCACATGCAACAAACCTGTGGCTGTTTTTAATGATAATTATTAGTGGTGATTGCTAATGCATGCGTCATATTACTATTGCTCATACTAAAGGTTACAAGTTTACATTTATGCATTAGGCAGATGCTTTTATCTAAAGCTGCTTACATTGCACTCCGGGTATACATTATCAATTCATATCAGTTCATAAGTCTAAGTGCATAAACGTTGTTTGATGTGCAGGAGCATCACTCAGATATAACTAGAACAACAGTGTGTGTGCAACAGTGCCTGCTAGGGCTGCACGCTTAATGCGATATGGCTGAGTGTGATTATCAAACTGCGAAGGCTGTAGTTTAATTCAATATGCAGTGTGTAAAGAAAAGAATCACCCCCCTTTAAAATAATCACATTTTGTTGCTTTGCAGCCTGAAATGAAGACGGACACAGTTTTTGTTTTATCCAGCTGTATTTACTCAGTGCAACTGATAACATCCGAGTGAAAGATCTAACACCAGGGCTCGCAAAATTGCAAGCCCGACGTCCCGGGGCTATTGTATTTTCCACAGTTGGGCTACCAAAATGTATCACCGCCCTGCCCGATGGGCTATCTTAAACCGTGATATACATAAAGGGAATGATTCTTTACTAAACCCACTGTGTGTGCTGCTTGTTTCAGAGTGAAGAGCAGCACTGTGTTCATTTAGACGTGAGCAGCTCATTCCTCAGTGTTTTCAGCAGCTCGGTTCACAGTAAATGCTGCT